TGAGCACCAGCGCCGCGGCCGACCCACAGGACTACCGCCGCCGCCGCCGCAACAGGTGCCGCCGCTGGGAGGGGAAAGTATGCCATGAGCGAGGTCGCAGGCGACTCCCGTTTCATTGCTCGTTATAAGTTTGAAAAATTTGTCGCGTGGCGCGTGGTGCTTTGATGATACATGTATGCGATTAGTTTCGTAGCCGTAATTCCGCAATTGGTGCTCGTATGTTACGCTTGCAGTTGACCTTGATGAGAAGTTGCCCAAACATATTATACAGATGGAGGGCACGGCGAGGATGCGTATCTTACCGCGACACGCAAACATCGACGGCTGACCAGGGCTCCATGCCTGACGCTCAGTTTCGTTGCAAACGACCCTCGAGACGCGCCGTCAAGTGGCTTCATGCTCAATGCGATTTTCATGGTACTATAGCCTTACATTCAATTTGTAAAATAGTCAGTCACTCCTATCTTCCGGGAAGTCGAGTATCCCAAGCGATAAAACGCAGCAAATTCAGGTAGCAGAAAATTGTAGATACCATACGAAACCATCAACTCGATTATGGCGCGCTGCGCTTACTTGGTTTAGTAAGACGCCGCTTTTGCTCCGATGCCGGACGCTCCAGAACCAGCCACTCAGCTCATTGTCACATGTTCGGGCTACTACTCCAGAAAACGTACTTGGCTACTAGTTTACTAGACTCAAAAATATTGCGCATTATTTCTCCTCCATATCAGGTCGTAGCAAGCTTGCGCACTGCAAGCGTATCTGGAATAAGAGGACTATGGAGACAGCTCACGCAAGCAGCCACGGTGTAATGGTTATATGATTATATTATCGACCAAGGAAACACTTTGCTGCTCTTCGGTATAGCGAGGCAGGCGGTTCAACCACGATACGAGGACCACGATACTGCTGGTCTTAACAGCCCCCACCCCGACCCCTACACAGGCTGCCCACTTTCCCCAACCCACCATCCCTTAGTCCCTCTGACGACGGATTCGACGGATTCCACCAGGGTCACTTACGCCGCAACCAGCAGTCCGCAACAGATCTGATATCAACGCCCGACAGCATACAGCGTGGGAGGCCGCTTTCACAGGCTTCAGTGCATCTGACTCCACCCACAGAGGAGATAGGGCTGTGCAGCAGCGGCAAAAAATGTTCCTGGTGTGAGAGTTCTGTGTGATTGTGGATCATCGCCTCTGCACTGGATGCCCTAGCTGTGGAGCTGAGGGTTCTGATGGCAATCCAGCCAGTCTGGACGAGCAATCAGGCCAGCTGGGGCTCCAACAACTCCACAGCTGCGAAGGGGCAGCGGCGGCAGCAGTGCCTTCAACAGCACCAGCAGTGCCTTCAACAGCAGCACCAGCACCAGCAGTGCCTTCAACAGCACCAGCAGTGCCTTCAACAGCACCAGCAGTGCCTTCAACAGCAGCACCAGCATCCTGTCACAGAGAATGGGAGTGTCAGTGTAGGCTAGCCCCTTTCCAGCTGTCGAGGACGCAGCCTTGAGCGTCTGATCAGTCCCTTAGAGGTTGGTTGCTTCCTCAGCTCACCGGTCCATCCAGTGGCATGATTCGCCAACACCCTGATGTCGTTTGTGTGTGACCTTCATGCGCATAGCCTCAATACCCTATGCCAGCTTAATCGTGACTTCGTTTTCGCAGTGCCGGCACGAGGGGGTCCTCAATCCCCTGACCAATGGGGTCTTACGGGGGGGTCCAAAGCTGCATCGCACTGGTGCAGGCTTGCAAAGCATCAGCTGCGGCAGCGGGCTGCTGGTCTGAGCGACACCACACTTGCTGGTGCCCTTGTGGGCAACTCCTCCACTGCCACTGCAGCCGTCCACAACACTATTAATTCCCACTATCATCACCACTGGAGACAAACAACCCGATCCCTGTCATCACCACCACAGCTGCCTCCACCATTGCTGCCGGCTCCCCGGCGGCTACCACCGGCCCGCTATTGCCTGCTACCACCATCACCGATGTTGCATTCATCACAGCCGCCACCATTGCCGCCATGTCCACTGCTGCTGCTGTCACCACCACCCCGCCCACTGCCCCGCCTGCTGCCCGGGCCACTGCCACTGGCCCTGCCACTGCTAGCCTGCGAACTCCTCTGGTTGAATCTCACCAACCAGAACACAACCCGGTGAAGACACCAATTGGAAGAGTTTTGTCCGCTTAGGTAGCGGGGCTGCAGCCATCTCATGAGTCTTACAGCCGGTTCCGGAATTGCGCAGCCAGTCCCACAGTGGTGCACTGTTGACCCACACATGCTCGACGGGGCTCAGCGAGCCAGGGACGACAGGATCTCAGTCGTAGCCTGTGCTACGGGCCCCCGCCCATACTTCTGCAAGTATTGACTTCCGCCTGAGGCGGCGTTTACTTGTAGGCATCCATGACAGCTTCCAGCTCACTGTTGGCCACATAGGTTGGAGCCATAGATCTGACAAATGGCGGCGAGATAGGCAGCAGTTGGACATCAGTTAGTTCCAACAAACTTATTCATCAACCTTGCCAAGCAGGGACGGAAAATTAAAACAGCAAATGTATTAGTTCGGACCAGATGTTAAACAATACACAACACATAGGGGGTGCAGGGTGTAATTATAAGGAATGGCCATGCAGTTCCCCCAATGTTAGCTCAATGATGTTCTTATTAAACTTCCTGATGTGCTAGTGTAGTAGCCGATGGATAGATGTTGTGTCCTCTACTGGTATGTTCGTCGATACCAAAATGTAATAGCCGTCTGCTACCGTAGGCGTGACAGCAGACGAGGTGTTTGGTCGTGAGGCTGGGGAAGGGGAAGATCTCGGCCATGAGGGGAGGTTTAGTGAGAGAAGCAGGAAGCGATATGAAAAAGTCTTGGTTCGAGTACATACTAAGGGAACAGTGACAGCAAGGTCTTGAACCCTGAACACTAATATAATGATACGAAAAATGTATGGCTAAAGCACTTCACCCGTGTGGCTTATATGCGGCCCACCTGCTGCCATCTCCATTCCTGGAGTCATTCTGTAGTGCAAATGTCGTACACTACGTTGTGGTAGCGCGTAACAGAAAGTGAGTTCGTACAGTTGACGAGTACAGTTGGTAATTTCAGTACCGTAACACTACTGTGATTAAGCATTCATATGCAGTCACATGCTGTGACTGGTGCCATTCTGGTGACTGCCATATGCGTGCCATACTCTAGCAGATGCCTAAGGTTTGTATGCCGGACTGTGGGCCTCTTGTTCCCCATATCTCTACTGCTCACGTTAGCTTGGTGGCAACCTTATATAATTTAGTGATAGATGTCGTGTCCATGGAGTCATAATGGTGCGCATGCTGCATCCCGTCCCCTGCCCTATGGCATAAACATGCCGGTTACCGACCGTTTGGGGCCCATTAACCCAACCGGCCGGTTGAATGGCGTTAACGGCCCGGTTGGGTTAACGGTCGGTTGGGTTAACGGCCAGTTGGGTTAACGATCAGCTGGGTTAACGGTCGGTTGGGTTAATGGGCCCCAAACGGTCGGTAACCGGCATGTTTATGCCATAGGGAGTATCCCGGTAGCGCGGGAAGCAGCGTTCGCCAATATTATTTAAAGGCCTCTAACGCTGCAGGAAAATTTTAGTAGAAGATTTAGAACTATGTATGTATTTAGTTTTAGCGTTTGTTCCCGCTTTGAGGGCGTGAAATGCCGTGTCAATGTCCCTAATAAGTTATTGTCCCGGCATTTCAATTGTCGCCCATAAGCATGAACCAGGCCACCAACTCACAAGCTTACATGCAACAACTAAACTAACACAAGGTCGTCCATATGGCACCTTTCCTTGGACAAGGCATCCTCCAATTGGCACGCGGTAAATTGACTTAGATTGTTTGCCCTGGCAAACTTATGTACTCCAAACTCATCCACTAGACGATGCTGGCTGTATTTCTTGCGTGGGCGATCTTGTCGCCGACGGGCGATGTTGTCCAGGGCGTTCCGGTCAAACTCGTAGGCGCCGACCTCATTACCGTTGTCCATGGACATTGTGTTGGAAGGATACGTTAAGGTTCCGATAAAATGAAGAAATGAAGAAGCGCTCCTTCATAGTATGGAGATGGTAGAATCGTCAAGCAACTTTTGAACGACCAGGGAGAGTTGCTGATAGGCGAATTTGTATGAAGCTATAAAATTCCTTTATTCTTTCAAGGTAAATGAATGCTTATGTATTCGTCCGTTAGTAGCGTGAAGCTTTGAACACTCTTTGTACGGCAGATTCGGCACAATGTTTTGCCTCATTGCGATGTTGCCTGAAAATTTTGAACAGAAGGGATCACTGCTCATGCTGGTGCAGCAAGACATGTAAGGAGATGGCCTGGTCACAATCCAGCAGTCATATATCGACAATCTCAAGCTATGACAACTCGTTACATGTGTCTGTAATAAAAAAGGGACTTTGCGATGGTGTGGGGAGCTCTTTGAGTGGTGGGACTGTGGAAATCCAGTTTGTTTCGCCCGTAACAAGTTTGTTACGGGCGAAACAACGTCCCTCTGAAACGTTTGGATATGCCTATGCAACACATTTCCTCAATTTCATGAACTGCAAGTATTCTAATCCAACATCACCCCAATCTCAGTGTAAACTAGTCTCCAAATGTGCCTGCACAAGACTGTCACCCCTGTCACCCGGCATTCACATTGCCTTAACCTCCTAAGCTTGTCGGGTGTGACACGTGGGCATGAACCTTGTGACAATGGGCATTGTCACAAAGAAACTGGTTGCAATCAGAAATGCATTTTTCCTCATGCCAGGTTACCGACATCGGTTACCGATTACTGGGGACGGTTAACGGATAACGGTTCGCTCGGTAATCCTACCGACCGGTTACCCATCTCGTTAACTGGACCCGTTAGGTCGGAACCGGGCCGGAACCGGCCTGGAGTATGCCATTGGGCTGAAGACGAGGTCACTGTCGTACTTAGCCCGTATGTTCTTGTAAGGGGGGCATTCAGCAAAAACATGCAATTCGTCTTCAAACGCTCCACTGTCACAAAGCCTGCACGTGCGCACGGTGCGCTGACGTCTATTAAACCGGTTAACCTCTAACACCCAACAGCTTAACCTCAAACACTTGAGCCCTTGATGCAGTCGCTGGGCCATGGAAAAACTCGATCAAATGTCGAGGAGAATGGGTGTCTCGAGGCGCACATACAGGCCCAACCGCCGCATACATTTCCTTGACCTTTTGTACCAGTTCCAGGACCATCACGCCCATGAACTGTGCAGCCAACGGCTGCCGCCACGGAGCCGGCCAGGGTAACTTTGCCCACCGCCGCACTCCAGCCGCAACATGGCACATGGCAAGGTGAGTTGCACAAAGAGCGTGAGCGTAACGACATCACTGCAGCTAACCTCGTCCCGCACTCTGGGAACCTGGAGCCCTCACTCTATATGCGATTCACATTCATTTCATACCTTCATGAAGGACCCTTCATTCCACACCAAATCGAGGGCACAAGGTCAATTTGGAATGAAGACTCCCTCATTACAGAATGAAGGGAGCTCAGAATGAATGCCCCCTACGGTTTGAATGCCCCATCAGTCCAAAATGAAGGAGTCTCCATAAAACGAGCCCATGTCCATCATGTGATATGAAGGCTCCTTCATTCCAAAACGAAGGAGTCTCCATAAAAAGAACCGCGTACATCACGTGATGTGAAGGCCCCTTCAGTCCAAAATGAAGCAGTCGTAAGTTTGAACCATACAGAGTACGTGGCAATGTATTGCAACAGTGAGAAATTGCGACCATCTCGTTAGGAGCCACAGCCTCTTTGCCATTATTAACAAGCTGGACGCACTGCTGTCTGGTGATATGATATATGCACGAGACTGGCACTGATCATTGCGTCCACAGGACGCACACGAAAATTCGAATTTGGTGAGCGGTCGTCACAGAGGTAACGGGGATATGTTTTAGCTGGAGGGGCCATAGTTATTAGCTGTTATTATACCGTCACAGCCAGCCAGGCTTGCAAACAGATGCTGTGCGTGTAGCTCCAAAAACACTATGCATGATCATGCTAAGTCATGTTCTCACTAAAACCAATTCTGGCATGACGATATCAGAAGGCTTCTATAAAGGAATCCGTGGATAACGACCACTTCAGCCAAACTACTTCTGAAGGGCCCTCAGCCCTTCATTGTGGGATGAGCTCAGAATTCATGATAACTCACGTTGGAACAATGCATACAGTCATAAGTAATAAAAAACAAACCCTGGCATGGCGATATTAGACGGCTTTTGCATGGAAAGGGACCATTTCAGCCGAGCTCCTTCTATATGTTCTGAAGGCCCCTCAGCCCTTCATTCCGAAATGAGCACTAAATGAGCACGAAACGAACACTAGATGAAGGGAATCCCGGGTATCGAAGGGAAGCGGATTCCCAGAGTGCACGGGCAAGGTAAGATTTGCGGGTTAAAGGTAAGTGTTTTAACTCCCGCACGTTTTGGCCCGGTTCTGCTCTGCCAGTTTCTTGCTATGCATTGAGGGCCCTGCATTTAGAGGGGGGATAGTTGTTGTATTCCGCTTCTTAAATCTGGTCCCAAACGGATATATTTTTCTGTCTAATTTTTCCTTTCTCGCTTGGTGCGGTTGCTGGGCTTGGCGCGGTTGCTGGACAAGTTCGCTGGAACTGAATTCCAACTGCCTATTTTGCCGATTTTCTGTCAGATCTTTATGGCTCCGACCTCTGGGTCAGACGGCGAGCGGGATGCTGTCATGGATGCCTACAAGTAAACGCCGCCTCAGGCGGCAGCCCACTCTTTATTGTATTGTTTAGCGTAATAACGAAGTCCATAAGTATGGGTGGGGGTCGTAGCACAGGCTACGACTGGGATGCTGGTCCCTGGCTCGTGGAACTCCGTCATTGATTGGAAGCATGGATCAATGGTACGCCATTCCGGACTGGACTGCGCCTTTTCGGAACTGGCTGTACGATGCATGGGATGGTGAAACTCTTCCAAATCGGTGTCTTCCGATGCCACCATCCAGTTGTGGTTTAGTAAGATACAACAAATAACCATCCATATTGTTTCATTGCATTGGTGGGAGATTCCCGACTGCAGAGGCAAAGGCACATGAGCGGGTGATTTCTACCTATGTTGTGGTGGACAAGGCACGCCAGCATATCTTCACACCAATTTTCAGGCGTATCCTTGTCACCTATTGCCATGGCTCACAATCAGATTTGCTACCTGGCCAGGAGATTGAGGTAAGAGCAACAACAGGATGAATCCACTTGAAATTGTAATAGCTGGCCACTGAAAAGGCTGCTGGAGATACTGGTAGACAGTGTACCAGCTACAACAATTTCAAGTGGATTCATCCTGTTGTTGCTCTTACCTCTCCTGGCCAGGTAGCAAATCTGATTGTGAGCCATGGCAACAGGTGATGAGGATACGCCTGAAAATTGGTGTGAAGATATGCTGGCGTGCCTTGTCCACCACAACATAGGTAGAAATCACCCTCTCATGTGCCTTTGCCTCTGCAGTCGGAATCTCCCATTATGCAATGAAACAATGTGGATGGCTATTACATCATATAATTGCTACCATTCATTGTTATGGTAGCCTATCATTTGCCAAAAAACATTCAGTACTGCATAGTATTGTTTCACAGCTACATGAAAGATACTAATGGTGGAATATCAGTTTCTTCAGTCCTCACGCTGACTGCACTCTTTAATGGTGCACCATTCATTCACAGGCAAGCAAGAAGCAGGGAAAGGGGGACAAGACTGCACCAGAGGGCCAGTGGGGCAGCAAAGGGCAGCCTTCAAGGCATGGCTGTACAAGGCATGGCCTGTACAACTTCCCTCGTGCCATCTGCTGATGGCATGATGGGAGTTGTAACTTATGGGGGGGGGTTCGGTGGGGGGGCCGGAGACCCCCCCAGCGCCTCACACTCAAGGAATAAATTAAGATGATCCTCCAACTTTGTTACTTCGGTTGGAATAAATTGAGACCTACCCTACACGAAAAATAATCACTGCCCTGTAGCAAGCTACATTTACTTTTGTATCACTATCACAGTGTTGTTGTCACCGTGTTGTATCACAGTGTTGCTGTCACCGTTCTAGACTTAAGCCTTCAAACTCCGATTTCCTGTACTGCTTCTCACTTCAAACACTTCATGGTCAGCCCCTCTCCTCCCATGGGCTGTAAAGCAGTGGGGCAAGCAGCTTATCTATGTGCCTGAAAGCCCAGTTTCAACATGCGCATATAAAGCTATTAGCAATCTGGAGACTTCCCTCAACAGATAGGCAGTCAAGAGGCACAACACTGCCAAGGCTGTTAGCACTTCTCTACCTATTGTTAGGAAATGAGTAGGCAAGGTATTCAGCTCCAAGAAGTACCAGAGCTAGCATACCAAAGCAACCCACAACAATATGGTCTCTATATACTGGCACTCACCACCAGCTCCCCCAGCCAAGGTGCCCCCACTAAGCTGCCCTTCACTGCTGGAGCCAGCCACCACACCTGCAGTTGGTGAAGGATAAGAGGATCCACACAAATGCATATATAAACCATTCACCACCATCAGGAACTTCACTAGTATGACGTCCGTGTGTTGTCTTGTGATGGGTCTTCTATCTGTGATTATGTCTTTCAAAGACATAATCACAGATGGCACATAAGTTATGTGCCATAACACGCCTTGAGACATGGGGTTTGGGGTCCACCCACCGGGCACTGAACTAACAAAAAGTGATGTGGATGACCGCAGTGATCTGCTTTCTAATGTTTAAGTACATATTTAGAAAGAACAAAAGAAGACCTTTCCAACAGTGTAATTTTCTGGTACAACGGTTGGCCGTTCACCCCCCCTTCTACTGGGAGCGTGTACCTGCCTAGTAATAGTATCATAGTACTACATTATACTATATAGTACTATTTCTTACTATACTGCTATTTGGGTATAAATATAGTATTTTTGCCAACCCTAGTTAGGAAGGATATATGGGTGCTGAAGCTGGAACCACTACCTATACAATAGACATATAAAGGAAGCAGATAATAGTCCAAAGCCTAGTTGTGATAATCAGATCATCATTCAGTACCGTAGTGACAGGAAATGTTCGTCTTTTTATCGTTCGAGACACCCTCAAAATTACACCCGAAAAATATTGGTGAAACTTTTGAATTGCCTGCAATGTTCGTAAATGGGTCCGACTCAGAACGCCGATTGACGCAAAAGCTGGCCAATGCATGCACGGTTTATTCTGCTCACCAGCAAACACCAGATTCCAGTGACATGGCACGCGAACCACGTGAAAAGCATGCAGGTATTGTCTCTTCCTGTAATGTTTTGCAGTTCGTTAACGCGCGCTTCTGAAACCATGTCGTATCTTCGGAGCTAGTGGAGCTTGAACTTGCGTGTACAACGTGTGAGGTTATGGCGCGCTAATATGACTATTTAAGCGGACCAAATTATGAACATTGTAAGTCTAAGTTGAGTTTGAAAACCGATCATCTGTGCCTACGCAAGTTTTTCGGCAAGTAAAGCCGGCTTACGCTTCCCAGTTGTTAGGTGTGGCCTGGTTCCCTTTCAATTGGTATCAGAGCCTAGGTGATCCTCCTCGCCGAGCTCTTCGTCTTCGTCGTCGTCGTCGCGCCATCGCGCCATCGCGCCATCGCGCCATCGTCTTCGTCTTCGTCTTCTTCTTCCCCGATGGCTCTCGTTCCCACGGACGCCAACCGCGACCGATCCCGTTCGCGGTCCGCGGAACTCCCGAGCAACGTCCACGAGTCTCCGTTTACGACGCTCACGCCCATCCCCACTATGGTCAACCCCGTCCCTACCGTCCCCATCGTCGACTCCGTCCCCACCACCTCCCGTACCGCAAGCCGCTCTCCCTCCCGCTCCCCCTCCCGCTCCCCGGCCCGCACCGACTACTCCAATCGCCAACGTCAGGACCACGACCGCGGACGCACCTTTCCTTCCCGCTCAAACAGCCCCCACCCGCGTCGCGATGGTCAGCACCGTCGCGCCGACCCACTCCGCCACCGCTCCCCTCGTCCCCGCTAACGTGGCCCTCGGGCCACCACCGGCAGAACAGGTTAGTCACAGCGTGCCGGTGCGTTTTGCTGTGCAACAGTCAACCGAGCCTGACACCCCGCCGCCGCCGTTCAACGTTTCGCGCCTCAACCAGATCGCCAGTAAGCCCGCCCGCCGTGTAGGTTGTATGCGTGCTCGTGTTGCTGCAGCCTCCACGACAAGAGCGCAACGGGTGGACAGCGACTGGATGCTGGCGCGCACCGTCTTTCTCGATCTTGACTCGCAGTATAGCCCCTTCACCGTCGACGCCTGCTGCGACGACTTCGGCATCAACGCCCACGTCGTTCCCTTCTTCTCGCCATCCCGTTCCTTTCTGTCGGCCCAAGTCGACGGCGAGTGCGTCTGGATGGTCCCGCCTACCTCGACCCCGTCCACGTTCATCTCTCAGTACCTGGAATCCAAATCGACCAACCCTCGCACCTCCGCCGTCATCGTCCTACCAGACCGCCCCACAGCCCCCTGGACGCCCCTCATCCGCCACATGACTGTCGTGCGCCGCTTCCCTGCCGGCGCACGGATCGTCTGCCACCGCGACCCCTCTGACGCCTCCAGGTACAACGAGCCAGGACCCTCCCCCTGGCCGCTCATCGTCCTCTACGATCCACCGTCCCACACTCCCTTCACTCTCGCCACTTCGTCCACCGCCTCCCTACCTACTTCGTCGTCCCCGTCAACTACTTCGTCGTCTTCGTCGCCTCTTATCTCGTCGTCTCCGTCGCCTCTTATCTCGTCGTCTTCGTCGCCTCTTATCTCGTCGTCTCCGTCGCCTCTTATCTCGTCGTCTCCGTCGCCTCTTATCTCGTCGTCTCCGTCGCCTCTTATCTCGTCTCCATCGCCTCTTATCTCGTCTCCGTCGCCTCTTATCTCGTCGTCTCCGTCGCCTCTTATCTCGTCGTCTTCGTCGCCTCTTATCTCGTCGTCTCCGTCGCCTCTTATCTCGTCACCTTCGTCGCCTCTTGTTTCATCATCTCCGTCTACAACTACTTCGTCGTCCTCGTCCTCGCCTATTTCGTCGCCTCCGTCTACACCTTCATCGTCGTCTTCGTCCTCTCTTATTTCGTCGTCTCCGTCTACTACTACTTTGCCCTCTCCTATTACGTCACCTCCGTCTTCAACTGCTTCGCCGTCTCCACTTACCACCACCTCCCACGTCCGACAACTTACCCACCGTTTCTCCACTCCGAACCCAAGCACACACCCAACCGTGGAACAGCCTCCGCGCGTCTCCTTCGCTTCTCCCCTCGTCTCTCCGTCCACTCCCGCCAGTACCACTCCCCCTGCCCCTCCCCGCCCCCATCCCCTCCCTCGTCCAGCACTTAAGCAGCACAACCGTCTTCGCCAACCTCCATTACCACCTGTCGACGAAAACACACCCACCTCACAGGTCCCTATACCCCCTGTTCTCGGCCGCCTGACTGCCGCCGACCTCTCCTCCACACTCATCGTCTTCAACGCCGACATTGCTGGACGCCCCGCCCGAATCCTCCTTGACTCCGGCGCCTCACGCAACTTTATAGCCAACGATTTCATTAACCGCTCCCACCTCCGTCCCGCCAATCTTCCACCGTCTCAAGCCTTCCGAGTCCGCCTCGCCAACGGACATCTCGCCCTCTCTTCCGCCGCCCTTACCAACGTCCATCTCACCATCCAATCCCACCACCTGCGTACCACCTTCTACGCCTTAGACCTGGACGGGTACGACGCCATCCTTGGTAAGCCCTGGTTAACCCAGCACAACCCCACCATCGACTGGCAGAACAACACCGTCACGATAGGCAGCACAACCCTTTCTGGCTCTCCCTACCTTCCCTCCACGTTCGCCATCGAATTCGTCTCCGCCGCCCGCATGCAGAAATGCATTCGCCAAGCCAGCGCCCGCCCGCCACCACCCACCGCCTCCAATCCCCGAAAACGTGGGCCCTTCGTTCAACCCCCACCAGTCTACCTCGGCATCCTTCGTCCCCTTGACGACCCAGAAATTGATCCCGAAGCCCCACCCCAGCCCAACGTCCCCATACCGCCGGCACCGCCTCCTCTCCAATCCATCCTCGAGCGATATTCCGCTGTCTTCTCCGAACCCACGGGTCTTCCACCATCCCGCCCTTGTGACCACCGCATTCCCCTCGACCCCGACGCCCAACCGCCGAAGCAACGTGAGTACCGAATGTCACCGGCGGAACTCCAAGAGCTGGAACGACAGCTCAAGGACTACCTCGACCGTGGCTGGATTCGCCCGTCCACATCACCTTTTGGCGCTCCAATCCTGTTCGCCCGCAAACCCGGCGGCAACGGACTACGCCTCTGTGTCGACTTTCGTGCAATCAACCAGCTCACCGTCAAAAACGCGTACCCGTTGCCACGTGTGGACGAGCTCCTAGACCAGCTGTACGGCGCAGCCTACTTCACCAAGCTAGATCTCTGGTCGGGCTACCACCAAGTTCGTGTGCACGAACCCGACGTGCATAAAACAGCTTTCCGATGTAAGTATGGGCTGTACGAATGGCTAGTCCTCCCCTTCGGCCTTACAGGCGCTCCGGCTACATTTATGTCCCTCATGAACGACGTCCTCCGCCCCTTCCGCAACAAATGTGCGGTCGTGTACCTCGACGACGTCCTCATTTACTCACGCACCTTCGAAGACCATTGCCGCGACGTGGAAGCTGTCCTCCGCACCTTGCAGAACCACCACCTCCACGTCCGCCGCACAAAATGTTCCTTCGCCCAACCGTCAACGAAATTCTGCGGCTTCATCATTTCCCGCGACGGCATCACCA